CATTTCTCTTTCTTCCAATCGTCACTCTTTAAAACTTATTCAACATCTATTTATTTTTATTATTGGGCTTGTTATTAGGCAGCAGTGGGTTTAAGTTTATTCAAATAGGTGATCAATGTATCGCAAAGATCTATTAAAGAATTTAGAATATATACATACCAACTTAATATTAGAATGGATTGACATTTTCTAATTCTTTTGCCTTGGCTTCAGCTTCAGCCTTCTCTTCTGCTTCTCTGTCAGCTTCTCTTTTTGCTCTAGCTTCTTCTCTTTTCTTTCTTTCTTCTTCCCTCTTCTTTCTCTCAGAATCTTTCTTGATTCTGTTGAGTTGTTTTAAGAACCATTCTCTGTACCTTTCCAAATCTTCAAAATCTTCATATTTATCCCAAGCATTATTGTAATCCTTCTTCAATTTTTCCTTTCTGTCTTTCAATTCCTAAACTTTGGTTTCAATGATTTGTCTTTCCTTGTCAATAAGAGGATTTTATTTAGCAACAACAGAATCCTTTGTACTATCCTTCAACTTGTCATAATCAGACTTGTATTTGCCAATTTCTCCATTCAACTCTTGAATGCTTTAATATAGAACACTCATAGCCTTTCCAATAGCTGCTGATTTAGTTCTAAGAACTTTCTATTCCTTCTCCAACTTTTACAATGGCTCAATGTATGGAAGTGATCTTTCCAAAGCACTTATTTATTGTACAATTCTCTTTTCTTCATTTGCACTCAACTTATCTTATTAGAGTGATTCCTTCAATCTAGCCAATTCATCGATGATTCTGTCGGGATCATCTAAACTCTTCATCTTTTATCTGTATTCTTATGATTAATTAAAGAGTTTGTTGATTTGAATTTTGATTTCATCATTCTCACTCTTCATTTTCTACAATTCTGATGATTTCTCGGTGGCTAATTTAATCTTTTCTCCAATCACTTATCCTAATGGTTTCACTTCGTTTTAGAACTTATCTTGATTGCCTTGTCTAGCCAAATTTTATTGCTCCTTAACATTTTTAACAAAATCATTCTAGGATGTTAACAACAAACTCTTACGAAATGATTCCATTGCTTTCTGATGTCTTCATTAATCTTATCCAATTATTTGTAATGATCATCTTTGCTTGGCTTTTAAGGAGGATGAGCAGGCAATTCTGGTACTTTACTTTCAAGAGTGATCTTGGTCTTATCCCAGTCGAATTCAGGTCGCTTTCTGTCCTCTCTTTGCTTCTTCTTTTATTGCTTCTCTCCCTATTCACCCTACTATTCTTAGGTCTCCTTCTTTGCTTCAGTTGCAGCACCTAAAATGCATCAAATTTAATTCCATACCTTCCTCTCCCTTTACGACGTATTGAACTTGCTGTTACTTTTGCTTAGGCTCTCTCTTTCTGTTCTCTCCTCTGCTCTAGTTTGGCTTTTTCTCCTCCTTTTAGACTTCTGGCTATGGTGTGGGGTCCATATAAATTTTTTAAAAATATAGATATTTTTTTTAATTGCCCTACACGTATTTAATTAACTCCCAAATACAATTCCCATTATTTACATCATAAATTTCAGACAATATAAAATTAACAACCAATTTGTTTATTCTTCAATCATTTATGAAATTACTCACTCCCAAACCTACATTTAAATACGCAAAATTAGATATCCTTAAACTATCACATAACAAATTTGTTTTTCAAAATTATTTCTTTTTCTTAACTGAACAATTAATTTAGTATTTTAAACTCATATTTGAAAAAGAGAGCTGCAATAGTTCTGAACATCAATAAAAATTTCCTCATAGAAATAAATATATTTTTTATTATCATTTTAATTATATAAATACTACACATTAGATAAAATCCATGCGATTAATATATGATCACTTTAGAAATATATTAGAATAACAGAGTATTAACGAATGGAATCAAAAAGATAATCATGATTTGATTTTATTTTTGTAACATCAAAATTAATATTATTTTTATTTCAAAATCATAGTTAAAAAAATAATAAGCCTACTTTGAAAAGTGTCAAATGTAGATTTATCTTAATTGAATTTCTTTTTTCTCGAAATTTCCTATATGTCGGACTTTTTAATATTGAAAAAATTCTTAAAAAGATATAAAAATTTCGAATAAGCTTAATATAATTTCAGTTTTAATCTTTAATTTACCTAAGTCAAATAAGTGGTTAACAAAAAGATTAGATAGATTAAGAGTATGCCTGAGTTTTTGACAAAACAAGATATCATTTTTTTCAATAGTTATATGTTCTCATTCTTATAGTTAATATTATTCTTCTTAAATAATTTTGGATAGATTGAATAAAATAAATTGGAGTCGTATCATGGTTTTTTTGTACTTCTGTTAATTATGTAATCTTTGGGATACAAATTCAATTGCTCATCTTTCATATATTATGTTCTTGATTTAGAAATAGAACTTTTATCGATCTTTTAATCTCCGAAGTAAATAATAAATCAAAATAGATATTCGCTTAAATAGGGGAATTTTAGTGTTATTGGGATTGAATTGCAAACTATGATTCAGCACAGCATTACTGAATTAAATATCATATAAGAATACATATAATTCTCTTTACTATTGATCATATTTACATAGGTGTCAAAAGTAAAAAATAAGTTAAATTATGTCCTAACTTCCAGGGACTTTTATATTTTAAACATATGAGTATTGCATTCATGATGATTTTAATTTGTAATTTAAATTGAAATAGGGGTGTTTGAAGGATTATTTTTCTTTAATTAATCAATTTTTTAAAATATAATGTTTCTTCTCCACATTGATATCTCTAACCACAAATTATATTCTAGTTTTTTTAAGGTAGATTAGATACTAGTGTATGTTGTTAAGGTTAAGTTAATATTTTTTATATTAATAATTTTATAAAATGAATTAACCACAGACTCGCTAAGTATAGAAATTAACAATTGATGATAAAGTAAGTAGATCTACTTAATATTTTTAGTAAAAATTTGAATTATAAAAGGAAATATTCATTACAATCAGATTAATTGATATGGTAGAAAAGTGTGCATAATTAGCTGATGATAAAATAACACCAGAAAAACATTCTTAAGAAATCACAAAGTTGATTGAAAGGTACAAAAATTTTACATCAAAAATCGATAAATACGATCTCAACTAATTCATAAAGGTACACATGATAATTCTATTGATTAGGAATACGGACTCGAAGATTGCAAATTTGGAATTGATAGAATAAACAAAGGACCACCTTAAATTAAATAAGGAAACAGAATTTAATTAGTTGTTGATCTAATGCAAAGATTCTATTTGATGCAAGATATCATCTTAGAAAATAAGGACAATCCAAAAACATAAGTCTTCAAGCCAATTGTAGATTAGTTGATAATGCTTTTAATTAGAGCCAAAACTGAACTTCCTCCTTACAAATCATACTTGGAAGATTTGCAATAATTGTAATATCAATTCCTTATTGTGTTTAGCTCAAAACAACATCTTGAAAATTAGATTATTGGTGTGATACCTGAAGAGGAATTTTAAAAGTTTGAAAGTATAATAGATTTGGCTTAGCAAAGTTTTATGACTTCCCATTCACAACAATGAGCATAATTGTTTAAATATCGATTAAATTCTATTCAGTATTAATTAGTTTCATCATTTATTATACTTTTTTATATTGTTAATGTTAAACATATTAAATCATTCTTCCTCCTCTTAAACGACTTACTTTTTCTTTTTCTTTGGTTTTTCAACGACTTCAGGTACTTCTACTTCCTCTTCCTTTGACACTTTTGGTTATTATTCGTCTTTAAGAATGTTATTGTTTTCTTCAGTAACGTAGAATTACTACCAATCTTAGGGAGTATTGGCATTTGGTTTTCCATGTGGGTCAAGCAATCCCTCTTTAATCAAAGCCTTCTTTCTAAGTGCTCTTGGTCCAGTACCCCATCTAAAAAGGATAAGACAATAATATACTTTCTTGGATAGGTCTCTCTGTCCATAATGACTCTCTTGGATTTGCAAACGACTCCATGATCACATGATGCAATCTCACCTGTTGTCATTTAACTAACATATAAAACTGAATAAATTACGCAATAGCTACAGCAATGGCTTCTCCTTTGGTTGTGATCAACACAATTTCATCACCAATATCGATCTTATCATCAAATCTAAGAACTCCTGGAACCATTAGTTTTGCTCCATAACAAATAGCATTAACAGTGGAATCCTTAACGACAACTCTCTTATAGTTTGTCAAGAGAACCTCCAATGGGATGATCACATGTCTTAAATATGATTCATCCTTAAATTTTTCATATCGATATTAGGCATCCAATACGTCATGCATTGAGACCATGTACTTGTTTTCATCCAATATTCCTGATCTTACTCTTCTCAACTCTTCCATGTGACCTCCTACTCCCAATAACAAACCCAAATGAACACATAGAGTTCTTACGTATGTTCCTGCTTCACAACTCATCCAAAAGATTCCCAATCTCTTTTCAGGGTCATACTCAAACAATTTACTCTCATAAATTGTTCTAACTCTTAATTCTCTTTTCACTGCTGAAATCGCAGGTGGCTTCTAAAATACAGCACCTGTCAAATCTTAAATAGCCTTCTCTAACTTAGCTGCTGATGATATTGCATCATGTAATCTAAAATATTATTATATCTTTATTACCTTATTATTCCGACGTACTCCTTACCAGCTGATTACTATGCCTTCACTAGTCTTGTTGCTCTATTTAGACACACAATCAATGCTCCTGTAACCTTTGGGTCAAGAGTCCCTGAATGGCCTGTCTTATCAACTTTTAATATTCTCTTGATCCATGATACAACTTCGTGAGATGATGGATTTGATGGCTTGTCAAGATTTATAACACCGTATTTCAAATGTTCAATTAGTGGTCTCTTTAATGGAGTCTATTATATTAATAATCTATCCTTACTGATCCACTTGGAATTGGTGTATAATGTGAGGTCAATATGTTCATCCTTTCATAATTCTTCAATAACAATGGCCAATTGGAGGAATCAATTTTGGGTCCCTAATGACTAGTTCTTATCACATCCTCGTCTTAAACTTATTCAACTTCTTCAACTCTCTTTGATTTTTTTACCTTAGTTGTGGCCATTGATTTCTTTTTTTTAATTATATAAAAAAATTTCTAATTAAAAAGCTAATCCCTTAAATACTAATTAATTAAACTATAAAAAAGGAGAATTCAATATTACTAATAAAATACCTGTCTATTATAAATCAAATTATTAAAATGCATTCTCCAAAATCTATACCAAGTAAAGCTACAAAAAGTTTTGGTCTCAATTTTAACATTAATTTTGATCATACTTATGATGCCCAAATATTAGAATTTTTAATATTATCTAACACATTTATGTGCAGTAAAATATTTATATTAATTATAAATGGATTAAAGCTAGAGATTTGTGTTAGTAAAAGCAATACTTCCTCAGAAAGATATGCATTATGTAAGCTTAATTAATGAATAATTAAAATTGCAAAAGAAGTATCCCTAATACATTCTAGCAATAAATGGCTATGATTTTTTTGAAGATAAAACTTTATTACAAATTACCTATAATTGCAGCAAATATGCAAAATCCTTAACTGAAGTATAGTTTAAAACTTAGGAAGAAAAATTTAGAATATTTGATTAGCTAATTGAGATTGCAGAGTTTTTAGAAAAGAATAAAATTTTACATAATAATATTAAAAAAAATAATCTAATTATTGATCATAATAAATTGTATCTTACAGACTTTGGATATATTGCAGGATAACCCGATCTAAATATATTTAGGAATAAATTAAATTTTATAAATCTCAATCTAAACTAAAAAAAATAAATTTATCCATATTTAACAAAAGGTTTGATGGAAGCAATAATTACTTACAATGAAAGGTAATTAAAATAAAAATTAGAAAAGAGAGAACCTATAGAAATAATGCAATATGATTAGCATGTATTAACATCTTTAATGGTAGAAATATTTTCTCCATTGGAATGGAATAATTGTGATCTTTCATATTTAAAAGATTTTTCTTTCAGTCAGAAAATAGGATACATAAAAATCAACAATTTAGATTTACAAGATTATGCCATTGTCATAATAGAATAAATACTAAATTTTAGGTTTTAAAAGGAAAATTAATTGACCCTAGAATTTCCTAGACGTTTAGAGCCTATGTTAAAGAAAATCGACAAATAGCGAGTATTAAATAATAAGAATTTGGAATTGGTTGAAGATTACTTTAAAAATAAAGATTTCGAATTTGATTTAGGATTATTATACTGCTTTACTACTTGTAAACTACTTGAATTAGAAACTTAGGTAGAGTAATCAGGTAAAGAATTCGATTGCAAATTAAGAAAAGAAATATCTAGAATTTTAGCAATTCTTAATATGATTGATAATTAAATATTTTAAAAGAAAGATTTTGAAAAATTAGAATCATTAGATGATAAATTATTCTGTTTAGCTTATTTGGATGAATAATTTGAAACCTTTGAGATTTCAAAAAATAGAGATCAAACTTAAGAAAATAGAGAAATATATTAAATATAATTATTCTTTAAAATATTAATTAATAGAATTTTATGATTAAATAAACAGAGAATCAAAGGATTAATTTATGGTAAATCAAGCATTTTAGAAATAATATAGGAACCAATTATACATTCATCCAGAGACTTTTGAATAAAATGAAATTCTAAAGGAATATATAAATATTCACATTAAAATTGAAATCTAGTTTGATATCAATCAAGATGAAACGATAAAGAAAGATACGATTATTATAAAATAAAGAAATAAGGGGGACCAAACAATTTTACATATTAAAAAAAATAATGAAGACGAGAAGATTATTCATGAGGTTTGTGTTGATCATATCAATTATATCAAGCATCTAAAAGTTGTGAAACTAAATAGACATTTTTAACCTACGCCTACTGTAGTGTTTAAATTAATAAAAAAATTTAAATATTATACACCTTTAGTTTTATTGAAAAAGCAAAAGCAATTAGCAGAATTAATAGATTACAACAAAAAAATAAAATATAAAGGGGAATGTGATTTTGACGAAGATAATCGAGATATCATTTTTTAAGGGAAAGGCATTAGAGAAATACTAGAATCTGATTAAACAACTCTTAAAATTGGAGATGTATATAAAGTAAGTGGAACTTTTAAGAATAATATTTTGGAAGGAGATTAAATCAAAACTTTTTATTATCACTTTATTGAAAATAAAAGAACTTTTAGTATAGGAAAGTATAAGAATGAGTAATTAAGTGGCAGACATGAACATTATTTAATAAATTAGCCTAATGAATATGTCAAGACTATACATCATTGTTCTTGCTGTTTCTGTTCTCCCTTATAATCCTGTTATTATTGGCGCGCATGGTGTGCTTGGTGTCCTTGTTTGTTTAGATATTACTGGCAAATAATTTGACAGTTTAATATATGGATTGAATCAAAATTAAAAAATATTATATCATCATTTATTATTAGGAGTATATAATAAACAATGTAGGTAATAAAAAATCATTAAAAAATTGGTACTTTGTGAAGATGAAAAAGGTTGAGAATTATTTATTGAGTGATTGTCATATTTGAGAATGAGTCATTCAGATCTTCATTAAAATCTTCATCATCTTCTTCGTAAATGTTGTGGAACTGCAAATTAGGTAATTGTATTTCCTAATCGATGGTTTGCTGTTTCAGTTTAGCACTTTGATTTTGGGTGCCAATAATTTAAATAATTTTTTTATTAAATTTGATTAATGAAATTCCAGATGAATAAATTTCTTAATTGTTCATCATTAGAATAATAGAGTTTTTAGAATTGCTGGTTGTTGATCTTCAATAATTAGATCATGATAAGACTTGAATTGACTTAATGAAACTTGGTTCCAAATATACTCATTAAATGATACGGTTTTTCAAATAAGGATTTCATTTCTTCTGTCAATTCTGTGAAAGTGTATTGAATAAACTGTTTGATTTTGTTCCAGATAGGTGATTTATCTTGATTGTCTTTGATGACGGTGTAATTGCATAGCCATAATTGATTTGGTAGGGCTTTAAAAGTATTTCGAGTGAATGGTATTTTTTCGTTGTTTATAAAACAATAAATTGCATCTATTATTAATCTATCGGAACCAATGATTTATATTTGATCTGTAATGCTAACAATTTCTACCATGTCGGCACACACAGGCAACTAGTCAGTAAAGGGAACCACAGGGAATTTCCCTGATCCATGAGAAGCTAGTTTTATAAGCTATTTATATCTATCTTCGACAATTCTGAGGGAGAAATTCCGTTTGTAGCAAATTTGCTTATCAAATAGAAATATGGGCATGGAATGTACTTGTTAATCTTGAAGGACGAATTTCTCTTCGGTTTCGCAGTACCATTGTAAAAATTGATTAAAAAGAAGATTGATGTTGGGGTCTGTGATCATACACTATTGGAGACAAACGGGACAGTACTGTTCGACCAAGTCGTTTTGGAAACATTGAGAGCAAAAGAGGTGTTGGCAGGGCAATACGACAGGATTAATGGGAGTAAGGCCACAATCCAAACATAAAACTATTTATGGAAATTCTGTTTGGAGAACTAAATTTCGGATAGGGGCATAAAAGTTACCTTCTGGTCCTTGTTCGAAGAGTATCAACAATACTTCCTTTAGCATTTCGTTGACTGGCCATTCTGGTAATGTAGGTTTTCTACATAGGGGACAGGAGTGATTTAGTTTCAAATGATGATTGATGCATTTTTCGCAGAAGGAGTGTCCACAAGACAAGCAGGTCGGATCGCTTAAATGATTCAAACAAATAGTACAATTGAATTCAATTTTTTACATATTAAGTTTATAAACAAGAATTTAAGATTAATGTTTTGAAGATGATTATATTGGAATATTTTAAATTCTTAAGTGTTCTTGTTGTTCTGAAACAATTTTGATGGTCACGTGAATTTTAACAACTAGCATAATTATTTATTTTTATTACTCAGTTATAGAGTGTGATAATTAATGTTTTTTTATTCTTAAATTAAATCTAAAGATATCTTATTTATCAAATAGTCAAATCACATTAAACTGAAATTCGCAAGATTAAAGCAAGAATGATAAAAAAATAAATATATTATAAAATAATGATTTGCTGCTCATCATCAAAGAAGAAAGATGATAACAAAAAACCAATTGAGATATTAGAACAAATCGCACCTGAGAATCAATAAGGAGATAAGTAAACTAATCAGTTATAAATTTGAACATAGATCCTGTAGAACCAATCAATAGCAAGAGGTAGAGTTGGAAATGGAAGAACGACCTAAGAAAAATTCAGTGGGGTATCAAGTGTAAGATGAAAATGTCTCAGCATCAATATGTCCCTCATTTGTGGTTGGCAAAACTCCGTTTACTCTTTTCGTTATGAGTCTCCTTGAGAAATAATAAAACATGAAAAAGGAGTCTCAATAACAGGAGGAAATGAAGATCGACTTTTAGGAAGATTTGAGTGTGATTGTCAGTTACCCCCAAATAGAGGCTGAAGTTAAGAATAACGAAAAAGACAAATCATAACTTGTAGACATTCCTGATCAGCCTGAAGTGATCTAGGAGGAGGATGAGGAAGATGACGATCGAGAGATGTTCAGAGGAGGAGGCCAAGAATGCAGCCATCTTCAAATGGGCCAAAGAAATACATGATTACAATACAGACAATACTGAAGAATTGATTTCGAAGGCTGTCTCTAATTTTAAACCACTTCAATCAAAGGAGGAATCAAGGTCCACCTTAGCACATAAGGATGGAGGTAAAGTGTGCAAAAATAAAAAATTAATTAGAACCTTGAGAGCCATTGGCAAAGAGTTGATCAAATAAATTGGTAAACACAATTTTATCTGGAAATTTAAATTTAACAACTGTGTCATTCCCTATCAAGGCCATGATACCCAAATCAGCACTTGAGAAGGTCTTGATGTCTAGTTGTCTCTTCCCACTCTACATCAACAGAGCTGTTCTGGAGAAAGATCCCATCGAAAGAGTAAAGTATCAACCCTATTATTAGATGAAGCTAATTATTTGTGCCACCTTAGGTAATTTCTATTTGAATTGCTCCTTTCTCAAACCCTTAAATCCCATCCTTGGAGAAACCATCTCTGGTCTCTATCAAGATGGCACTACCGCATATGCTGAACAGATCTCACACCACCCCTCCCATTAGTTACTTTTTAACCATAGGTCCCAAAAATAGTTATAAATTTTATGGTTATTACAATTACGAGGCCAAAGCAGGAGTCAACTCACTCTCCTTGAGGAATAAAGGCAAAAGGTTTTTGTAATTTGCTGATGGAGAATTAATTGAGTACAACTTCGCCGGAGAAGAATATAGTGGTAGTTTCTGGGGTCCCATGAAAGTCGAATGCAAAGGCAAGATTACATTTTTGGATAAAAAGAACGACATTTCAGCTTGTGTTGAATTGGATAGTGTAAGGTGGAAGGCATCAGATTACTTGTCTGGAGAAATCAAACAGAAAGGCAAAAAAGTCTGTAAAATCTATGGATCCTATATGGGCTACATAGAATTTGGAGAAGTCAGATATTGGGATGTCAATTACATACGTCCATACGAATGCAAAGTCTTTAAACCTAATCAATTTCTTTTGAGTGATGCTTCCTTCAGACCAGGTATCCAATTGTTATATCCATGTAGATTTAAGATAACTTAAACGCAATAAAGTACAAGAGGCTCAGAAAGAGAAGGATGATCTGGAAATGCAATAGAGACAAGATGCTAAACTCAGAAAACCCAAAAAATGATTTTCACTGAATTATTGTTATTCATATTTATGCAAACAGTTTCTTAAATTTTGTATTTTATTTACAAATTGTAACTAAACTAATAATTTAATCAATTTTTTAATCAAACTAATAAACAGAATTTATTGACGAAAATGAATTAATTCATCTTCTATATAATGTATTAAGGCTTTTGATGATGGTAAATAAATTTGAATTAATTTAAAATTCACATGATTATTCCTAAATATTTCTGCTTTTTAATAAGCACAATTAATATTAATTTAATTGCTTTATTATATATAATTGTGGTTGTGTATATTCATTCATCAATTTTAAGTACAAACCCCAAAATGTCTCGAATTCCTACTTGGCTTTGATCGACTGGTTTATGGGAAGTGGAATAATTCCAGAGTGATTTATCATCGATAATGTATCCTTCTCCGGGTTCGAGACTCATTTCAAATAGTAGCTTAGTTTTGTCAGGACTATATATTTGACTATCAGCTCCTTGACAATTGATCTTATTAACTACTCCGATGATTTCTAAATCATTTCCATCTCGATTGGGTCCTTCTGGAGTCGACTGAGCAGGTTAGTCGGCGTAGGATATCTAATGATATTATATATGGAAACATACTGTTCTGACGGCATGCACAGAGATTTGAGCCTTTTTGTATTATTTTAATTGCCAAGTGATTTGAAGAGTATTGTAAAGGAAATCTTTGTAGATCTGATCGTGCTTCATCTCTTTTGTTAGTTCTTCGTAGACATTCGCATATTGGAGACATTTGGTTTCATCGTAATTGTCTAGACGATATTCTTCATGGAACCTCGTCATATTGCCATCCTTGTCAAACTCAATTTGATAATTCATCATTCTTCTTTATCTCATGATTTTATCGGATGGCAATTTGAGTCTCTTTTGTAAATAGAGATCAGGCACTAGAGTTTCGAAATGAGGTTTGAGCTATTGAAAATCTGATTTGACATCCCTGTTCGTGAATGAAGCAAATGGGAATTTTGTTGATTTGAGTGCCTATAAAACTTTCATAAAATAAATTAAACAATAGTCAAAAATAAAACTTATTTATTTTCAATTTTTGAAATACCTCTAAATCTATCTCTTTATATATATAAATGTGTCTCAAATTAATAAATCATAACTAATTCAAATTTTATAAGGTGCCAAACTTGATCTTCTCACCTCTTCCACTTCCTACTCCTTGTCATGCAATCTCATGCGCAGACTCTCTACTTCACTAGCCAACACTACAATAATCGATAATTGATCTTAAAGCCTTTTTATTATAGAACCCTCGTCCGCATATTACATTCTCCATTGTCTCAATTCATCGTCTTACACCTTAATTTCATCATTCAGTCGATCGATCTCAGCAGAAAGCACTCGACACTAAATATTTCAATACACTCAAATACATTTTCTTAGAATTTCTTTAACTATTCTACTTGGTCCTCCAATTGGAGAATTTGTTATTGCAATTTAGTGAGCAATCTCCTAAGATTTTCGATTTCTTATGATTTGTCTTCTATTGTATTTCGGTATGACACAACAGTGCTTTGGAATTCTTCAATTCTTGCAGAATACTATTAGATAATACTTGGTAGTTTAAGTGATAGTAATCTACTCCTTCTACTTGATCAACTGATTCAATTTGTCCACTTCAAGCAGGAGATTCTGATATCTGCCTTCCAATTCAGATTTCTTCTTTTAAACGTCCTGCAATTCAGTTAAGAGTTAATTTACTTTGCTCTTTTCAGTAAGGAACTCTAATATGAATTTAGTAAATACAATTATTGGCATTTTCCACTTAGGATTTCACTTAATTCAATTATTCCTATCTTTATTTCAATTAACCCTCCAAGGCAAGTATTGTGTCATTCAATTACTGATTCTCCTGTTGGATTCGTTTATAATCATCATTTATCAACTATAATTTAAGATACTTTTATTTCCAACTCTCTGTTTCTTCTGACTTTGAAACCAACAACTTGTTCACTCTTTCTGTCTCATTTTTGTAGGATAACAATTGATTCTCCAATTCCCTTTACTTATTTATTTCTTTCTGGAGGATAACATTCTTCAGATCGTCGTTCTCCTTCTATTTTTAATTGCATAAATCCTTCCACTTCTTCAATTCGCCCTCTAGGAATTCTCTCTAATATGAAGAATTGAGTTCTTAGGTTTGAAGTGCCTTTTCCTATGAAATATAAATATTATTGTATTACAATTTCAGTTTTCATTTCAGATTCCAATTGATTCCTCAGAACTTGCATTTCATCCAATTTGATAGTCTCAAATTCTCTTAATTGTAGAGTGAGATTATCAATTTGATTGGAGAGGTTGACAACTCTACTCTCGTAATAATTGGTCTAGAGTTCCTTCTGCTCTTGAATTTCCTCCTATAACGTGGTGATTTGGATGATGAGTTCAGATTTCTCAATTTTGTGAGTCTCCACGACGTTGATCATTTCATTCAATTTATTAGTCAGATCTATTATTTATTATTCCAAATGATGTCTATCTTAGGTATTATCTTGCATCTCTTTAATTCTGAAACGCAACTTTTCATTTTCTGATCCCAATCTCTCAATTTCACAAGCCATCAAAAATTGGCATATCTGTGGACTCGATTTTTACTATCTACTTTCAGGAGTGGATCTGATATTATCAATTGAAGTTTCATGTATTTGATATCTTGTTTCACGTGTTTAAGGAGTGTTAGAACGCACAGTCTTAGTTTCAGAGGTGTACTTATATTCTTAAATGTTCTAAATGCGTTGTTGCTAGTAAGACATAAATTAATTAATCAAAAATTGCAAATAGAGTTGAACAAATGAAGATAATTTAACTGATTTTTTACATTAGATTTTGTGATATATAATAATTTCAAATGATAAAACTTAAATACGTAATATATTAGTATGTTGTTTATATATTCATTACTATTTCTTTATCCTCTGTCTAGACTGATTAAGCTTCTGTTTAAGTTTAGCAAAAACTCTTACAGTAGCTCTTATAGTAACTTTGGAGAGTGCCTTACTTATTTCATTTTCAGAAATGAAGAAATTCTCATCTGAAAACTCCTGTTCGATCAATGGTTCCTCTCCATTCATTGTAATAAATGGATGATCCTAAATAGATTGCTAAATGTACCATAAGTTACTCAAGTGTGTGACGTTACCTTGCATCCTTCTTCAGACAACAGCTTAGGAAATCAGCCAAATCTGGATCAGTATCTTTAGAGAAATTAATTTCATTATATGAAACAGCCTCCTTGAGTTACTAAACATTTTTAGCTGGGAAAGGATGTCCTCCTTAAGTGAGCATGAAGAATGTGATACCAGCAGCCCAGATATCTGCTGGTTTCCCCTTAACCTAAGAAGTCTTGAATGCTTCTGGAGGCAAGAAGGCCTTGGTTCCCACATCTCCTTGAATCAAATCAGCAGATGAACTATCATACATTTATGCGACACCAAAATCAGCAATCTTTAAGTTATCAAACTCATCAATCAATAAATTATCTGGTTTAATATCTCTATGTACAATTCTGGCAAAGTTGTGTACTTAATAGATAACTGTGTATTAATACAATAATCTAATCCAAGTAGGAAATGTCTCAGATACTTCCTGATCTTTTCACAAGTGATTTTAGGTGGTTTTTCTCCTTCATCCCAATCAATATTCACACCTTCAGATTTCCAATACTGCTTTGAATTGATGGATCCCTTCTTCACATGTTCCATTATGAGATATAACTTCCTCTCT